AGGGCGTCACTGCAGCCGCTGCCCTCCGCCTGTGCCCGCAGGGACGTCATCAAGAGGATCGACCAGTCCGAGTTCGAAGGGTTCGAGTACATCAACCCGCTCCTGCTGTCCACCGAGGAGTCCGTGTGAGGCGTCCGGCCGCGGCCACGTCCGAATGACCCCCACTCTCCTTCACCGCAGCGCTTGCATGCCAGGGAGGGACGCTGCCGCGGGCGCCTCTCGCATCGGCCCGCAGGGCGGCTTCGCGCTGGAGGACCCTGCTTCCTGTGCCTGCGCGGCGGAGGCCCCGCGGGACGCGTCCGAGGGCGACGCGGCCCCGCGATTTCGAAGGTGCACATTTTCCACAGAAACAGACCCGACCCGCGCCGCCGGGAGACTCGCCTGTAATGTCCCGAGGAATAAAATGTACCGATGGTGTAGCCGCTCCCCATGCTGCCTTTTTTCCGTGGGGGCCCCGCCAGCGGCGCGGACGAGGAGCGTGGCGCTGCGCACGGGGGGCTGGGGACGGGAGTCGAAGTGCCTGCCGTGAAGAATTTTTACAAAAGCGGAACATTTTCTAAGTCCCGGTAAGTTCCCGTTGTTAACCTTTAACAAGTATTTTCCTGCCGAGCGTGCGAGTGGCCGCGTGGTCTGGGGCGGACGCCGCTCCCTTCCCGCCGGGGGCCGCGGCCCCACCGGCCCACTGGACCCACGCGAGGAAAGCGGATCGGGCGGCGGTGATGTGACGTGCCGCCCGCCAAAGCGCCAGGAGACCAAAAAAACAACAAACGGGAAACTGAAAACTGAATCTGCTCAAAATATATTTCTGAAAACCCTACGCCGTGCCTACGTGATGTCTTGTGTTACGTATCAGGTGCCGGGGGAGTGTTTCTATCAGTCAGGGTGAGGCTCAGAGCTAGGAAATTTAAGATACGCGTGCGGCGGGCCCCAGGCTCGCAGTGAAACCACCTGGAGCACACGCGGTCGCGCTGCGTGCCCGACGCGGCAGGCCGGCTCCGACCACCTGCGCAGGCGGCACGTGTCCCCGGGCCGCCCTCCTTCAGCGTGAAAAGCCAGACCGAAGGTTTTCTAGAAGGAGGTGAATCACCTGGGTTTTTAGGTCCCTAACACGTTAGCTGGGGCGCGAGCCGGGGACGCGACCACGGCCTGCACTGCCACGTCCCCTCTGCGCCTCCGTGGCAGGTGGGGCTCAGTGTCTCCCCACGTGGCTGGTGTCTGGGGCAGGAGATTACGGTGAGAACTGAAAATGAAGCCGCCGCGGTGGAGCCGCTCAGCTTTGCTGGATTCTGTGCAGCCCCGGCGCTCACGCTCCGGTTTCTCGGGGCCCCGGGTGCGGGGGCAGGAACACCAAGGCTCTCCGGCCCTGGCCCTGTCCCCGGGGTCTCTGCTCCCCACCCCCGAGGTGCAGAGCAGCTTCTGTGGATCATGGAGACTTGTGTCAACCAGACCCAGTGTCACCAGGAAGACTTCCCTCCAACAAGCAAGACCAGGGCGCACGGGGCAGTCCGGGAGCCGACTGGGCCTCACGGGCGCCACTGCCGGTGGGGACGTCCAGCGGCAGGGCCCCAGTCCGAGGCTGTGCGTTCACTCGTGACGGGAGCAGAGCGCTGGGACGTGTCGACGCCGCTNTGACGGGAGCAGAGCGCTGGGACCTGTCGACGCCGCCGGGGAGGGAGACCCCGGTGTGGCAGGAACCGCCCTAGTGCCCTTCGTCCTGGTGGGTCATCGGCTGTGTTGGGCGCAGTGACCCCAGTACAGGGCCCTGGACTTGTCCAGGTTGAGGCCTTTATTTGTCCAAGTTGGGTGTTGCCCAGGAGCTTCCCGGCTGCCGGGTTGGTCGATTGTGTAGAGCACGTGCGCGTGACGCTGAGCTCACGGTGGCGGGAGCTCTACACGCAGCCATCGGTCTTACAAGGTCAGGGAGGCACAGGACGCATCGGCCTGCGGTTTGGGGTCACAGTCCTGACGTTTGCCAACAGCTCCGGGCACCACGTCGCGTGGTTCTGTACAGTGAGCAGAGCCGTGGCCACCGGCTCTCCGGTGGATGGCGCCCACGGCCACAGCTGCTCTGTAACTGCACGGCCATTAAAGACCTTCATGAAAACGCTTACTGTTGGTTTCTTTGAAAGGAGGTGTTTCCAGGAAGCAGAGGTTTTGGGAGCCATTGGGGGAAAAAAATAGATTTTATTGGCTGAGTAGTTTCAGGTTCACAGCAAAACTGAGGGACAGGTACAGAGATTTCCCCTCTGCCCCCCACCCACGCAGCGGCCCCCACTCCCGACACCCCACAGGGTGCACGTGGCACAGCTCACACGTCATCTCCCAGGGTCCCCGCTTACAGCCCGTGGGTCGGGACAAGGTGTTTGACGACACGTGTCCACCACGAAGCATCCGTGTGCTGCACCTGCCCCTCCTGTCTGTGCCCCAACCACCGGCTTCCTGTCTGTCATTTACCTTCCCCAGAAACCCTCTCAGTGGGAACCTACAGGACGTGGCCGCCTGGGGTGGGCGCCTGGCACTTAGTAACCTGCCCTTAAGTTCCCTCCATGTGTTTTCATGGCTGGCACGGGGCCATTTTTGAAAGGAAAACGGATGTCTGCGAGTTCACCTTGAGGTTTTGTATCGGATCCCCCCCCC